ATTCTTTTATTTTTATTTTGACAAAGTAGAGCACTAAAAATTGAAGATAGTGTGCTTGTCAACTAGCACGCGCATTAGAACCCAGCGCGCACATGCTGTAAAATACGACGCAACAGACGAAAAAGAATTTCATCATAGACGAATAGAGAACGGAAAGAAAAATGCTCAAATCTGAGATGGAAACGAAAAGGCGAAGCAGGCTTCTTTTTCGAATTTAATCAGTGGATTATTATCGTCATCCTTTATTTTACCGTGTACTCTGATACGTGTTGTGAAGGCAGTGATATGTGTCGTGACGAAAACCTGGACGATATCCATTCAATAAAAAATGGACGTTTTCACGAATGGTACGAAGATTACAAGATGTCCGACTGGGTTGAGGTAGGACTAGTTGAAGCCTTCACCAAAGTGAGGATATTAGGGGCACCCAACGGCCGAATGTTTCCAAATACGACAGAGATGTCTCAAATGGTTTTTTTCTACGCATTAGAAGCCTGTTTTGTTAATTTGGAGCTGCCCTAAAATCTATTTTTCTCTTCGGTCGTCTCTCGTCTCTCTTTGGTGGTCTTCCAAACTGTTCCCTCCCTGATGGGTGTGGTCGAAAGTTTGTGAATATGAAGTGGCCGTATGCACTTCATTAGAAGATTCTAGAGGACCTTTTGTTTTTGTACCCAAATAATTTTCAGGAGACTTTTTGTAACAATAATCGCAGTACCTTGGTACTAAAATGTGAAAAACACAACCTTTCGAAAATCTTAGGTAAGCTAGTATAAAAACTCCGAATATCTTAGACGAATTGAACGGTTATTCAGAAATTCAGTCTTAGCCTTTCTCGAGCTTAAGAAATTTTTAGGTAATATTTGCTCCTTCGAACAGTCGTCGGCTGCCCCCCGAGGATATTCAGAGAGTCAGAAGGGCAAACTCGTGCTACTGGAGAAAGACAAAGCACTTTTGTGGACCTGCACCGTTCTAAACCTCTTATTTCACTGGTCCCCTTTAATCTGCACTTCCATTGTTTTCAGGGATAGGGGCATTGTTATGTGACAATCCCTATTGTTTTCCCAGCTTCTCAAAAACAATCTTTCAAATAGGTGCGGGATCGCCCTTATTTTTAGGACAACAGCTTTGTACATGAAACTTAATGTGTATGAAAAACACAGCTACCAAGACGACATTATGACTCATAATTTTGTCTTGGTGGCTGTGTTGTTCATGCATCGTCACAGGGCTCCGTTACAGAATTATTCCGCAAACAGACGTCGGAAATTTCAAGTTAACGTTGGCACAATCATAAAGAAATGACTACGCCAACGGTAACGCTTGTTCGAAATTCGGGCTCACTGACTTTGAAACGTGTGCTTCGGCCCAGATGCCGAAACAGCACTTTTGTTCGGGCTGGTCTGGTAGCGCATGCGTTTCAGGACTACGTTTACCCGGATGATCATGCTCAACCTACGAATGAAATAAATCCTGGGATTCAAACCACAAACTGCAATACAAAATAAAGCAGCGAAATGCAATTTCTTCTTCGAACACCTGTTCAGTTTCCGATAAGGCACACGTTCGAGTCCTTTTGAGGACTCAAGATAAACTTTTTCTCCCACCCTCGTAGTATAACAATTATTACATCGCTATGTCTGCTGTAAAATTGCGACAGTAATAAAAACGTGTGGTTTTGTTCAACGTTATAGATGCTACTTCCATTGTTCACTCAACTGGATTTCCCTCAGGATGGAGCTAAAGATGCCAGTGATATTCCTGAGGTAGCAATATGGTAAGCAAGCTTAAAATATAAAAAATTCCCTCTGTCTGGGATCCTTTAGGCTGGTTGTTAAGAAGGAGTTTAAGGTACGGTAGAGTGGAAAGGATTTAGCTTCTTGACCCTTTATATCATACCCTAATATAAAAAAAAATAAATTTCATTGGTGCCTCTGTAAACCTCATTGGAAGTAGATGAGAGAAGATCTTAAAAAATCAATAAAATTCATCTTGCGTGATCATGCCCTTAATTCTCATTACCACTCTGCTGAATAAAGCGCTGAAATTACGGGGAGAAGTTGGATGCTGATCACTCTTAGGGCTTCCAGGGTTTAAATAAAATCCCCTTAGATACAGATTTCGAGGTGCAGTCATTTCCTTAACCTCCGTTTTAGTTATAGACGCCGTAAATAACCCACCCTTTGTGTTGCGCGCAAGACGCACATCCACGAGGTCATGTGACTTATGAGTTTACTATACACCCACCCTACCAAGGGGGACAGAAAAAAATTCAGGGAGGGTAGCTAAGGATTGTGCGGGGTAATTGAGTTTTTCATTGATTACCGCGGTTCGTCAAAACAATACTTAGAATTTCTCGACAGGTTGCTCCAAAAATGTAGATGAAACTGTTTTGCTTACATTGTTTATTTTCTTCAGTACTGTTCTTCTTTCACTTCTATCCGATCTTTTGCGGAGTTCATGCACCAGTCAGCAGCAGATGATCCAATGCCAAGGATTTCTTGTCATCAGTCATGTTTTAGAGAAGGTACCATAAAGTAAATAATATACAGTGGAAGCTCTGATAAGAAGGCGCCCTCGGGACGAGAAAAAGGTGCCCGTAACTGGAGCAGGCCGCTTACGAGAACGGTTCTCGTATGCGGCCAGTAGAGGTGTAACACTGAGTAAGGGTTAGATCGCCGCTTGCGGGAACTTGTCAATCTACAAATAAATTCTGGGAATGCAAAAAAACCTGTTTGTTATTGTTTGCCTTTACTGTTGCTCTGACGACGCTGTAATGCAGGCGCAAGCATAAAATTCAAGTGGTATAATGAGGTGTAAGCCGGACGTCTATTGTAAAAACAACAACAACAACAACAACCAACTCTGTTTCAGTGGCGAATGAGATTTCATTTTGGGTATCGGTTTACGAGACTATAAGACAGAATCCATCAGGAAATTGAGTAATTTTAATTTTCAGTCAAAAACCTTGTGCCAGAATAATTTAACCAATATCGCATTCTTTTTTACATTTTTCAAGGGCTAAAGATGTAATTGGTTATCTGCAATAACACCAAAGAAAGTTTCTTATGGGGGTCCAAGAAAATAAATGTGAAATTTCACAAAATGACTTCTTACACGTGAAATTTTCAGAATTTTACCTGTGTTTTCACAATTCTTATGAAATTTGATATTGATTTTCTCGAGTTTTTTGGTATTTCAATGGGAAAACAAGTGGTCATAAGTTGTACTGATTTACATTATTGTTTGATTTTGCAGGCTGTCTCCACGCATCTCACGGAAGACGCTCTAAATATTCTGCTCTCTCTTGCAAGGCATGTGATTCCTTTTTGTTCATCATCAACTTTACCCTTGATCAAATTTACTCAGTGACATCCTTCTGTTACTTTGTTGTTAACCCTTTCAGCCCCAATATCCAAATACAAATTCTCCAAACCTATCTTCATAAATTTACCGCCGCCTGGTTAGCTCAGTTGGGAGAGTGCCGGTCTGCTGAGCGGGAAGTCGCGCGATCAAACCCCGGCCGGACCAACACTCAGGGTCTTTAAATAACTGAGAAGAAAGTGCTACCTTTGCAATGACATCTTCAAACGGTTAGACTTTCTAGTCTTCTCGGATAAGGACGAAAAACCGTAGGTCTCGTCTCACAGCACTCACACTTAGCTGGTTCTTGTGGGACGTAAAAGAACCCACACCACTGTTCGAAAAGAGTAGGGGTCGTATAGACCCCGGCGGTGTGACCAACCTTTCTTGGGCTGGGTGGGTTATCTTTAAGGACACACTTAAACTGGAGCCTCGCTCTGTTGTGTGTTCCGCACCATATGGTGGAAGTGATTAAATAAATAAATAAAAATAAATAAATAAATAAAGAATTTTATTAAGGATCAAGGCATTTTTCCTTTGATAATCATTTTGTTCATCATCTTAACCTTTTCTTTTTTGATATACAGATATTGTTAGGAGAAAGTTGATGTTTGTCATTCTTGGGACTTAAAGCAGCTGTTAAAGGCTTAATACACCTTCTTTTTGCCTCAAAATTGATACTTTCTTTTTATTTGCAGATATCTTTTAAGTTCGACTGGATCTGGAGCTTTATTAGGAAGTCTCTTTGATCATATTCTGTTCAATCCAAACTTATGGGTGAAAGCGTCTCCCAAGGTATTTCTAAGTATATTTCTTTAAGTCCATTCCATTTTCTCTCAGTCCGCGTCATTATTTACGTAAGAGAACTTTGCCCTTCTAGCGTTCACTTTGCACCCGCCCCGCACAATTTCTTTACGCTGTTTCACGGGGGGTGAACATGAGTATTTCAAAACTCTTGACTCAAATTTAAAAACGTGCTGGCTGATCAAAAGATGGATAGCGTTATCCACCAGATAAATCACTACCCAGCGAACAAGACAAGTAAGTTTTGTAAAATTTCGGAATCCTTTAAAATACTGAGCTAATCTTGAAGTTCAAAAAAAAATTCTAAAAAGATAAGTATTCGAGGAACCAATTGCGTTTTCGACTGGAGAGAAATTTGTACAGTGGATAACGTTATCAACCTTTCGAACAACTGGGGCCTGAGAGTTAAACCAAGAAAGAATCCGCCTACCCAACAGGCGTCCCTGGCTGCCCCTTCTAACCTCATCAAATAAAGTATATATGTGCCCCCGAATTTCCTCGGCAGCGTCGGTATTTTTTCCGTATTAATTGTGGCGAGAACTTTGTCTTATTATTGTTCAATCCATGAGCATCCCTTTAGCAATGGAAGCCACTTAAGTTTTGATCTTTCTTTCCATAAAGGTCCAGCTTCAGTTGTTTAGTGTGTTTGCCACAGACCTCGCAACAGGCACAGGATGTGCAGCTCATCTGCGCCGCGATGTTGGGGTCAGCAGACTCATGTACATGCTAAAGACATTTTATCGGCTTTCCAGTGACAATGAATTTGAAAAAGGTAAACGCACATTAAGATTACTTTTTTGTAGACATGTGGTAGTTCTTTAGTGTACTTCGCAGCCGTTTTTAGGCTCGTCACGCAACGGCTGCGAAGGAGACTAGTAGTTCTTACCCTTGTTTTGTTTCCGACAATAATGGAAACAATCCTTGACCAAGGGAGATTCGAAGGCACACTACGTGATACGGCTTAATTCAAAATGGCCGCGCGAGGTAACTTCAAAAGAACATGGGCGGTATGGATGTCCAATTAATTTGCGAATTTTCTTCCACTTGATAAAAATGTATACAAATTTCTACTTTTTTCGTCCAACGTTACAACAATTTGTCATAACGATAGACGTTCTGAGTTTAAGTGACTGGAAGAGACTATCCTAACGCTTGTAATAACAAATTAGTAACATTTAAAATATTTATAAAGGGGATGTTATTCCATGATTTTTGCATCATTTGTACCCTTATCTTCCAAATGATCCGCGTCTGGATCATCGTTTCCTCTGACCTGCCTTACTTTATTATTATTGTTTACTGTACAGAAAACACAGCTCCAACAAATGAAGAAATCCTTTCTCTGAGAGCATTTTTGCTGCTATTGGTAAAACAGTTAGTACTAAAGGTAAGTTCGCAACTAACACCAATCATTATTTATTCAAAATATTTCTCCGTTTCTGATTGGGTCAAATCTAACGGCTAATTCGTCATAACCTGCAAGAGTTGTCTAAATTTGAAAAACTTTTGCAATATCCGGAAAATGACGTCAGTACTACGGGGTAATAGCCAGAAAAAGGGACGGCAACCGACAAGTCCTGGGGATGAGGTTGCGTTGTTTTGGTAGAGCAAGGCAAGATGGCGCAACGTTTCACTCGTTTCGTGAAGAAGAAATAGCCAAACTACTATCTAAAAACAAAGCAAGAATGCAACTAGACCACGATTTCTTACATTGGCAATTTTTTTTTTACACTTGTTTTCTCGGGTATCGTGAAAAAGGTCTATTTCCGTCATATTGTCCTTACATTCCTAAAAAGATTTCTTTTTCTCCTAAAACGCCTTTTTTGAGTTGCGATGTGTTCGCCTTTAATCATTTTATAACTAGATCTTCGCATAGATTAGCCTGCGTAGCAGATGGGTTTTTGGGGTGTTTTACGTTTTTTATTCGTAAAGTAAAGAGAAATTCTCTGCCTTTCTCCCTCGCCCCCTCCCTCACCGTTTTCTCGTGCGGATTTGTCTCTTACTTTGCGACCACAAACAAAAAACTCACCAAAAAACCGCCGTCTGCGCTGGCTAAGGGAAGGGCGGAATCATAAATTATGCAACTTTAGCTTTTTTGAAAAGAAAAGAAAACGGCAGAGTTCTTAAAATTTCAAAGCGATCTCTTTCCTTGAGAATAGGATCACATGCTAATGCGTTGTAATCGTGCTTTTTTCTGTGTTCGTAGGACAAAGGCATCACGGAAGAAGAATTTCAAAGCGTCCTATCCTACCTTATGATAACAAACGAGGTATCAGTATTTTAGCTTACTTTTAGTACTTGTCATTTTCTTCCTAATCTTTTGTAGTGGCTGAGTGTTTTAATGTCGAAGTGTCGTGCTACAAATTTGTAGGCTGGTCATTTCACAGAGTCGCTCCCACCGACAGGAAATTGGCTTTATTCCCCCCACCCCCTCCACTCCCATGTGTACATGTGGGCACTGGTGATCTGACATACTAGCATCCTGTTTCTATTTCTACATGCTTGATTCTTCAGAAATCACAATATGCTGCACCTCTGTTGTTCCCGTATGCGATATAAGGGCCTCTATTCAAGGAAATCAAGATGCAAATGCAAATGTTGTTCCGGGTAGAAGGGTCATTCGCCTAACCGCTCCACTCTTCCTACATTTCCTTTCTAAACCTTGCGAAGCATATACATGCGAAACAAAAAGTTGGCCCTGCTAAAATAAGGCGGATCACCCTTTTTCGATGTGAGGGTCACCCTCCCAGCCGGACAACGTTTCTCCATATAAACACTTTGACTCGCCCAGCCCGGTCTACTCGGTCAAGGGAAGACATTTAGAGCATGCGCGAGAGCTGTTGGCTTGGACAAAAGGGTCAAAATGTTTCCCATATTAACACTCGTTAAAGTTGACTCGGCTGGGAGACTCTCCCCCAAGACGACTTATCTCCTTGTAAACGGGGCCTAAGATAAGGTACAGTCCATGTGTTATTTGAGCGCTTCTTAACAATGGCGCGTCTTCTGTTTCCCTGTATAAATGGCCCTACTTGTGTGTTCCCTTATGTTTACTCTATGTTTTAGTGATCTTAGTAGCAGTGTGAAAGGTTTGAACCTAGGAGTCACTTCATAAGTAGGTTATATCACGCCAGTTGATGTATTTTAAAACTCTGGTTCTTGACCTGATTGGTCAATTAAGTTGCGATGTTACTGGTCGTCTGTCATTTAAGCCGTGATGTGGTTGGCTATGAAGACTCGTAATGTCTTCGGTGCGTTTCGATCCGTCTATTGTCACAGTTAAACCGCTGTCGTTTATTGTTATAGTCAAATTGTCAGTTGTCCAGTCGTTCTGTCGTAGTTAGTTTTGCTTGCTTCAATAAGTGGTTTGTACGATGCCGGTAACTGTAATGTCATAAGCAAAATTGGTTTTTCTTCAGGAGGAGAATCTTCTAGATGTTCTTCAACTGGTGCTATCAATAATGACTGAGCAGCCAGATATTTGTATCGCTGTCTTTGATAAAGTTGATGGTCTAAGGTAAGCTAACCAGGTACTCTACTCTCAGTAGGCAGCGTAGCCGAGTGGTCAGTGCGTCGGCCGTATATATACCTGCCCGAGTTAGTCGTCATTTTTCTGAATATACTTGTTTTAAGGTAGATTTCGTTTCACCTCAGTGTGTACTATTTGACCCCTTAGTTTTCACTCGTTTTAGTTTTCTGAGCTATTTGTTTTATTTGCGTTCAACAGAGTTCTATTTCGTTTCCTGGACATGAAATCCGAAGCGGTTAGAGTTTATGCTTTGAAGATTGTTGGCTGTTTTCTTCAGTACTGTCCAGCCAAGTAAGTGAATTAATAAACTACCTTACGCTTCTCAATTTAACCTTGGAAATATCGATTTAAATGAAGACATGTTCGTCGCAGTGGTAACTGCAATTCAAGCAATTACAAATAAACCCGAAAAACAATTTTGGGACTTCAACGCTATTCGAACTCATGGCCTCTGCGTTAGCGCAATAGTGCTCTACCAAACTGAGCTATGAAGTTTCATACATTGGGAGCAGACCAATTTGTTGAGTTATTCTTAACTCGTGAAAGGATTGAAACAAGAATATGATGTAAACTGCGGAAATACAAAATTAAATGAACAAAGGGAGAATGCCTTGATCATTAAATTCAAATTTCATTTCAATGTGAATTTCGACAGTTCACATCATCTTCATGTTTCTTGGAAATATTGTTACCGAATAAGGTTACTTTTGTATACTGTGTTTCCATTTCAGTGGTAAAACCAACTGCAATTTGCTCAGGCGTTTACGTGCATGTCGTTCCGTTTGCACGTATAATTTTCTTCGAGTTGTGATTAGTTCTTTTCAATTCACAATCAGGAGAAACGGGTATATGATCATAGTAGAACTGTATGAGGATCAGACCTTTTTACAGCATGAAGAAGAAAAGCTTTAGTGTGCTTTTACCACCAGCATCATGTTGTGTCGCTTGTTTTAATGATTTGCAAAATAAACGGGCATTTTATTCAGTTCTGATGCATATTTTTTTCCCCATAGGAGAAAGCAGGACTTGTTGGAACACTACAGTTTGTTTTCTTTGATCGGCGATAAGCTGATAAACCACTCTCTAACACTTACCACCTACAATGTGCTGTTTGAGGTACGTGTTGCTGCGTATAATGTGTTAGATATCAACCTATCCTTTTAGTGGTCTGATAATTTGTTCTGTTTACCATATGTTTAGATCTTGGTCGGACGAGTGTCCAAACAAATAGTCAGCGGACACCACCCACAGCCAGATAACACCTTCATTTTGCAAAATACAAGTAAGTCACAGAAGTTACATAGCGATAGGTAGTTACTCATATGTTCATTTTGCAGTCAGTTCTGTTTTTTATACCCAATAGACACTTCTGTAAATGATAATGACATTTAAGTAACAAAGTCAAGTATTGTTTGGTGACACAGAAAGTCGTCCTTATGGCAAGAACAAAACTGCGGACCATTTTAGTTCAGACAGTCTGCCAGTGAGAGTATGTCGGTNTATGGGTGACAAATTACGTTCACAATCTTGGGTTTTTGACATATTTATCGTATCGATCGAGAACTCCACGCACTGAAAACTTTAGCGCTTAAATTTTGGATTAAGTTCCTGATTTTCAGAATTTTGCGACAAAATACCTGATAGAATCCTTCTTGATACTCTGATTCGTGTGTTTAGGTTTTCTAAATCGTCTTAAAACCTTGACGCCATCTTGGCACTGAAACGTACAGAACTTTGTAATTTTCATGTATAAATTATCAATTAACACTGATAAATTTTGCGTCAAAATTAAGGAATAATTTGTCACCCATGATATTACGATTAAAATATCTTCAGGACCCTTTTCTTCCTCTTGTAATAAGTAAAAAAACGTTGTGTGTGAACCGGTTTGGGATAAGCGTGACAAAAGTCTCAGGTCTGGGAAAGAACCTGTGTTCTGTTCGAGTTTGGGGTGCGTTTAACTCTCATTGTAAAACGTTACCAACCGAAGCGGGTGTGGATGGTAATTCAAATGTTGCTGTTTTGAAAACAGGTTTCCACTTTCCTATATTTTTTACAACTTATAGTTATTGGACGAAGGAAGAGACTTAAATTCGCTTGTGCGTTGGGTTGTTGTAAAGCAAATAACATCGAATGACTCTTTTTATGCTAAAAGTTGTCTTTTTTGTTTCTTTTTCTCTCTCCAGCTATGGCTCCAGTCATAGCCAAAATGCTTCGCAAAAACGAAGGAAAACATTGCAACGCTGTAGTGAAACTAACTCGGCAGGGAAGCTTCAGAGAACAGCGCACACCGGACGAGGAGAAGGTCGACCTCAAAAGAAAATTCTTGTCTGATCTTGTATTACTTCTTAACCACAGCAAAATAAATAGAAGGTAAAGTAGTAGACACACAACACTTTTAATGAGGGCACCCGTAAGGGTAGTGTTAGTGGGCTTTATCTTTTAAATATCTTTCTAAATGATTTAGAGATCACACAGGATGATTGTAATTTTTTACATAAATATGCGGGTGATTCAACTATAGTTGCCTCAGTTTAGATTTTGTGGCCAGGTTTATGGAGTGGTCTCAGATCAATTGTATGACCTGCAGCCCAATTAAGTGTAAAGAACTCACCTTTCTTGAGATGGGTTAGAACGCAGATGCTGTCTATCCGCCTACTGCAGGTATACCACGATAAATTGCAAATCCTCGGAGTAAAACAATGTAAAGAATTGCTAATCCTCGGAGTGTACTTTCAGGAAGACTCACGGTTTGTTGACCATGTTAAAGAGAAGCTTACTAAAGCTAACAAAGGACTTTATATTTTAACATCTTTACGCAAAGAAGGGTATACAGTCAGTTAGAAATAGACCACTTATTTAAAGCTATAGTGTTGCCAAACTTAGTTTATGGTCTGTCGGAATATGGAGCCTCTGAGGCTAATTTTTGCAACTGTGCAATGTTTCATAGATAGACTGATGCTTCAAACATAATTATATTTCTCACAATGTAAACATCCGCGAGCTGTGAGAAAAACAAGGCAGAAGAATTTCTTGTCTGAGTCGGAAGGCCATTCTCTCTATCATATGCTCCCCAAAGCAAAGGAGACTGAGTACCAGCTGCGTCGTAGTTCTGTTCTTAGGCCGAAAATTAACACAAAGAGGTTTATGACCACTTTCATAGTCGTTTAATATTTGATTATAACTTAGCTAATGAGATTTTTTTACCTTTTTTTAACGTTTTTACCATGTCATCTTATCATTGTTACATTGTCTTTTTATTATAATATTCTTTAAAAATCTACAATTTCTTAGCTATTTATATTTTTTAATTCTTTTATTTTGTCATTATATCTACATTATATCTTTGTAACGTTTGGCTCTCTTATGAATCGTTTTTGTAACACAGAATACTGTATTTTTATTCTATGAAATGAAGACCTAATCCTGGTTATTATTATGATGATGCTGATGATGATGACTGCCGCTTAAAAGCTGGCCAAGCGTGTGTCCGCTAATTTTAGAAAGTCGATAATAGAGTGAGCTTGTAAATTAGAGTTTTAGGATCTTTTAATATTTCATCAAAATTTTAGTCTGTGATGGTGGAATGTAAATTGGTCATATGTTAATAAAGATTTTTGTTGTTGTTATTATTATTATTTTACACGAACTTTATTTTCCTTCTTCTTCTTCGTGGCCTTTCGGCGGTACGGGTTTGGGAACAGGGGCGGGGCGTAGAAGGCTGTTAAAAGAAAAGACATCGTGTGAAGCAGAAGTGTAACTGGAAGCATCACTAACGCCAATTTTTCTTCTTCGCACAGTCTTATTCTCCAATTGTCGTGTTGGCAAGAGTGGCTTTTCACTTTGGCTCACTTGGAACCTTCGAATTCAGGTAAAGATATTAAGTTGAGAACACTTACTTAACCGCGCGCGAGGTTTAAGAAATTGCTCAGAGGACCTTCAGATAAGTGGGTTATTTCAAGGAGACAGATAGTTTTCTTTTTTATGCTATGTGCCCTCGTGAAATTGCTCTTCGTTAAAAAGTGTTTGGATAAAATAGCGTTGAGGAAACTGAAAATGGATTAGAACGCGGTTTTGTTGAACACTAGCTAAACTTCATTTTAATTACGAAGCCCATTGTTTTTATCGCACTTTTGTTTAGTCTTGCCATCTGAAAGTGTCGAGTTAAACCTTTTCCAGCCCCTTAACCATCGGTTATGATCCACCTAATTCGTTTTCCATCTTGGGTCGCCTTTCCAAACGTGGCTACGTGAGCTTTGTTCAGTATAGGCCATAACTGTCCTTTCTTGTAATGTTGTATCTTTTTAAAAGGATTTAATTCCCGCATTTTGAAATGAAAAGTCACTTATTGACCTTTCTTGTGGCTGTATTTCAGAGGAAACCCGAACCACCGACACTGTTTTCTGTTTGTTTCGGATGCTGCTTCATCACGCCTTTCAAGAAGAGCGTGAAGGCTGGAGAATCTGGGTGGACACGCTAGCTATTCTGCATGGCAAGGTACTGTACCATGATATTGGATCAATTTAGGTTTCTGGGAAACTGCCCACCTACCCCTCCCTCAAGCTAACATTAACACTTAATTCTCACTTTGGACAAAATGATGTCTTAGGGGAGGGGTAGGTGGGCAGTTTCCCAGAAACCTTATTTGATCCAAGTAGTCTTCATCAAAAAGGCCTTCAGTGCCACTAGGCACGAACAGGATACCCTTTTATAGGAAATTAACGTTACAGAAATGAATGCGACTAAAATTAACGTTCATGAAGCGTTAATTTCCTATAATAAGGCAGGTGAGCTGAGGTGGTCTTTATCAAAACTTGGAAAAAAAAACAATCGTGGAAGGGTCTATTGCCGGTTTTGGTTATTTGTTTACAGGTGACATCATTTGAAAGAGGAAAAGGAAAGACCACTCCCAAACGCACAGCGCCAACTTCCCTTGCTAATGTAAACAGCCAAGGTAAACGCGTGGATGAAGCTGTTAAGTCTGCTACAGACGTGAAATCTCCTGCGTCTAACTCCACAGACAGTGACAATGACAGGAGAAAATTTTTTCAATCGTTACTGCAAAGCAAAAATGGACCCAAAGTTGATGCTCTTCCTAAGACCATCCCTGAGGAGATCGAAAGTGGTCCTAACTCCCTTGCTAAAGCGCAAGGAGAGACTACCTCTAAGACCCTTCTTGAACAGAACGAAAGTGGCCCTGGGTCCCCTGAACAGGGCCAAACAGAAACTACTGAAAGGACTCTTCCTGAGGAGAGTGAAAATGGCCCTAACTCCACTGAAAAGGGGCAAGAAAAGTCTACTGGAGAGGATACAAAGGACGAAGCACACACGATGGATGTACAGGACGTAAATAATAGTGAATGTAATGAAGAGGATAGGTCCCCTAGCGTGAAGGACTCTCTCAGTTCTACAGGTTTAGGCTCTGATTTAAGAGGAGCTGAGGAAGCTGAGGAGCCAACGGGCCACGAGGAACCTAATGAAGGGGTTAGGGAAACTACGGATGTTAGAGAATCTGAAGAGAAAAATTCAAGTGACATCCTTCGTTCTAAATACTTTGCTAATCAAAGTATTCACAACGAAAAAACCGCTGCAGATGCAGCTGAAGATGTATCGAGTTTGACTTCAGTTGAAGATAAGTTAAGTGATGACAAGCAATCTGATGCAAAATCTGACGGAGTTGAGAAACCGATCGTTGGAGATACCGAGACTTTACCCAAGGCTGATGAAAGCGCCAACGAACCACAAGTAAGCGAAAGAAAACATGAAGACAATGATGATAAGGAAAGTCTTCAAGACTCTGGGAATCAGACAGAAGTTAGTACTTCGCCGCCTGAAACAGCGACTCAGAAAAACACAAATTCAAGCGAAGGTCAAAATTTATTTTACGAGAAAGATAAAGCGAAAGATGTTGATAATAGTCTTACTATTGCAGTAAAGAGTTCCTATATTGGGACTGCAAGCGAAGTGCGCGAGGATGCGCAATCAGAAAAGGATGTTAAAGAGGATAGTGACTCTCAAAAGAAACTTGTTACGTCAGATGTCGCTCCAAGCGAAGAGCAAATCGTCTCTCAATCAACGGAAAATAGTATTCAGAAACCGACTGTCGAGTCGTTAAATAACGATAATACAAGCCAAGCGAGTTCACCTAACACACATTCGGAGACTGGGACTGAGTCCAGTCCAACCTCTACTCCTTCTGCCACGTCGGCAGCCACAAGTAACGCAGGCTCACCTGAGCAGAAACCAACTTACAGAGCACATGTAAATATTCCTGAATACTTATGGTCGCCTATTCACCAGAGACTGTTAGGGGATTTGTTGTTTGCTATCGAGGCTGATGTCCAAGTTTGGAGAAGGTAAGTTTTAGTGGCGAAAGCGGTACCTAACTACCCGAATTTTAGAAAAGGAATCGTAAGTTACATTTGATGAGGAATCTTAACGTGAGTAGGAATGAAATTACAACTAAATGCTCGGGGATTATCTTAATTTATGTAGAATAAATTATGGTATAGGGAAAACTAAGTAGCAGTAACTACGTCATGAGACCAAAAGTTCGTGTGTCAGTCGCGTTTTGTCAGCATTTTGCATTCCTTTTTTTTGTCTTTAAAAGTATTCCAGGTTTTCAAGATTCCTTTTGATGTTGAAGCCCCTTTTGAATAACTGACTGCCGCTGTAGAAGAATTAGAGCAAAGGAGCCATTCGCCATTTGCACACCTCCCATGATACACCTTTTTTGCCCACCGCCCCCACCCCCCCAAAAAAGAAAAACATTTTGCATAATTAGTGTCTTCAGTTTCTCTTGGAATGGCTGAAATACCCATGGGAAATAAAATACAAAGGTTATGCATTTTTTTTTAGGGGCGGGGAGGGGGAGATGTGCAAGTGACGAATTGTTTTTATTGCAAAAACACAAATATAGGTTTAAAATGAAAGGGTTTTTAAGTTCTTGATCAGTACATGGCAATAATGAAAGTAAACGAGCGTTTTGTCACTCATCTATGCTAAACGAGGAAGCTACTGGGCTACTAGTATTTGTGTTATCCATATTTTTCCTATTCTTCTTGTGTATTTAATGTGCTCGTTTTGAATGTCCAAGAAATAACTTTGTGACCTTGTTTTCAGCCACAATCGTAAAACTGTAATGGATTTTGTCAACGCCAAAGAAAATGGGACATATCTGTGGAACCTGGCTCATTTTGTTTCGGTGCTCGCAGATAACGTCATTTTTTGCTGCGGGGATCTTCTCCCTCTGCTCTCCTCCGTCACATCACGTGATTATGGCCAAGATGTCATCGAGCCGTGCGGTGGCATGTCACTGGAAACGAGTTTCTCGTTCCTCAATCGGGTTATGTCTCTTGTGGATGTGATAGTATTCACCAGTTCCCTCGCTTTTAGCGGAGTGGAGACTAACCGGAACTTGAGCACGGGTGGATTTTTGAGACAGTGTTTGAGATTAGGTGAGTGAATGTAAATCGTGAATATGCCATGGATCAATTTAGGTTTCTCGAAAAACTGCCCCCTACCCCTTCCCTAAGCCAACATTTTGCCCTAAGTGAGCGGTAAGTGTTAATGTTGGCTTAAGGATGGGGTAGGTGGGCAGTTTCCCAGAAAATCTGATTTGATCTTAGGCCATTTCCGGCCGTTTCCTAGTTACATAAACTCTCACTATCAAAACGAGGCTAAGTTCAAAACCTTTTTTCGGAAAATGAATTTTATTAGCATGAGAATAGAAAATATTTTTCATATCAAAACTTCGCACTTAGCTTCGCTTTGACACAGAGCTTTGGGATAACTCGGAAATAGCCCATTAGGCTGACTGAAACTTATAGGCAGTATAGACAGTGCCCACACTGTGTACTAGGCAGGCCGTTAGACACACAGAGACATAGGTGGAGGCAGCCATTCATTCATTGCAAAGTCACTGTAAATTTTAAACATTATATCCTCCTGTCTTGCTACTATCTTTAGATAGGTTACCTCTAATTTTGCTTGTCCGAAGGCCGATTATTTTGTTATTCCAGAGTCTGCCCTCTTAAGCCTTGATTAATTATAGCTATATTGTGTTACTCTTATATTTGTTTGTCTGTGCAGTGTTCTGTTGTGCGGCGCGTAACCGCTTAGTCTGTCGACAGCGTAACAGACCCATTCTACCACTAATCACAAGCGGGAAACTTGGAAAGAAGGCGCTCAAGGAAGCGAGAGAGGCCATCAAGACCCTGATAGCTTCAACAAAACCGCCCAGTGAACAGGTATGTAACAGAGGCTAGTGTTTTATTTTTTTTCTTTTTGTCGTGGAGATAAGTATGGCCATGTAAACCCCGTGGGGGGGGGGGGGGGGGGGGGGGG